CCGCTGACTGGCTGCTGGAGGAAGACTGAAACTCAGCCCGATGAAGCTGGAACTCATGCTCCGCTGACCCAATATGTCAACAGGGGGGGGGTTTCATAACTTTGGCCCTACTTCGACTCTGATTCAGAGCGCCACGAGGCGTTACACAGAACCAGGAGAGGTTAGAGGGGGAGGTGGAGCTGATCTGTGCACAGTGCCACATGACAGGAGGGAGAGAAAGTTTGGAATAGATTGTGGTAGTGTGTGAATAAAAGGAGCTGACATTTTCTCCCATTGGCCATATTTCCAGACAATAGTCACCCAAATTATAAACAAGCATTTCATGTTAAAATAACAATTTGGAATGAGTAGATGCACATGAATGGGTGTTCTGATTGCCACAATTATGAGTAATGTCTGCCATAATTGGTATTCTCATACATAGCAAAAATACAAAGAAATGCCCATGGACATATTTAATAACACCAACCTACACTGGCTGTACACACATATTAAGTGATGGAGCTCATGTTCAATATAACAGCTTCTGTATGGTCAGTGCTAAACTGCTGTCATTTATTCCACAGAGCTTTTATTTTCCCACTTTCTATTCCTCACATTTTTATGACAATCATCTGAGCTTTTAAAACTAAACGATCCCCGCCTAGACACTTTATAAGGAAACAGTGAAATGATGTCATATTTATGTCACACCTTTATCTAGTTGCAAATTACATTTACTCCTTCACCCCCATTCATCTTTTGAAGCATATGCAAATCCTGTTTGTTCATGTCTTTCTGTCTTCACGTTCATCTTTTTGCACAGTGAAGTTCATACGACTCAAATCACTTTGAAATATAATACACTGCAGTTTGCCTTATATACTCGTTGTCCTAAGTGTTTTAGTTTTTTTAGCTTTTAAGGTTATTTGTATAGTTCGCACCACCAGATACCAAATAAGCAAATTCCTTGTATGTGTTAACGTACCTGGAAATAAACTGAATTCTGATTCTGGTAAAGTAACACACAATCAACAGAAATGCAGGAACTGGACATTGTTTATTGTATTCATCATCATTTTAAATGACAAAAAAATGACATGTCTTGGTTGCATTCGCTCTCAATTCCTAAGTAGTTTTTTGAATCGTTCTCCTTTTTTCTTCCCCTGTGTGTTGCAGTTTTTCTCAGGGCTCCCTGAAAGACGCCCCCAACCTGATCTGCACGCCGCACACAGCGTGGTACAGCGAGCAGGCGTCTCTGGAGATGAGGGAGGCCGCGGCCACCGAGATCCGGAGAGCCGTCACCGGTACGTTTCAAAATGACAAAACCCCTCCTTCCACTGCGTCATAATC